AAAAAAAAAAAAAAAAAAAGAAGAAGAAGAAAATCTCACACCCACCATGCAAGAACCACATTCGACCATCGACACCTCCCGCCCTTTTCGCTCGGTGAAGGAGGCCGTCGCCATCTTCGGCGAGCGTATCTTGGCGGGAGAAATAATCAACCCGAAACCATTCACTCTCCCACAAAAGGAGACCCCACTCTTCTCCCCAAGCCCAATGACCGAAAAAAGCCCAATGTGGGCCCACACGGCTTCCCCCGGCCCAATGTTGGTCGAGGAGGCCGTGAGGAAGCTTGAGGCGGAGCTCGAGGAAGCAAAGAAGGAGCTGAAGCTGCTCAAGGAGAGAGAGTCGGAGAACGAGGCCGCGTTGGCCGAGGTGCGAAGGAACGTGTCCAAGCTGGCGGAGGCCGAGTCATCAGCTGACGTGGTGGGCACATCGAGAAAGTTGGCTCAGATTTTGAGTATCGGGGAGGATGAGAGTTTGTTTGTGGGGAAGAAAAAGGAGAGGAAAGTGAGGAAAAAGAAGCCCATTGTGCCCCTTGTTGGGGACTTGTTTGGGAGAAAGAAGGGAGCTTCTAGTGATACTCCTCTGTATGCATCTTCTCACCTGCAGTGGAGTATTTGAGTTTGAGGCTTTTATTGTTTATATACATATGTATATTTTGTTGAGTAATATGGTTCTATTTTCTCAAATTGAAGGAAAAAGTCTGAACAAAGATTGTATGGTGTGATCTAAGGTTAGAATTATTTTGTTTTGTTTTGTTTGGTTTGTTGTTTTGAGTTTTCTGATCTTTTGTTGTTGTGTTATTTCGTGATTTTTTTTTTTAACGCTTTTATTTATTTTCTTTTGGGACTTAATCAAGAGGTTGAATAAAGCACCAAAAAGTACAATCCGACCATACAAACTCTTTAGACTTTTTACTTAGCAAGATCGGATCATATGCCGGTAGAGTGGAGCTCATCTGCTCGGTGATTCAAGGTATTGAGTGTTTTTGGTTGGGGATTTTCCACTTGCCTACCATAGTTCGCACCAAATAAAATTATACAACTTTGTAGGCGATTTCTTTTGGGCTCAAAAAGCGCTCCCGTTGTTTGAGATAACTTATGCCTGTTACGCTTGGATGTGGGATTGGGTTTTCGTGATTTCAGTACTTAGAACCAAGCGTTGCTTGCACGTACTCTTTGGAACATGCAAGGCAAGAATGATACTTTATGGTACAAATAGATCCACAAAACATTTACTTGGAAGGAAAGTCCATGTGGGAATGAGAAATACACAAGGATGAATCGCCCCTTTTCAAATATCTCTTCGAGATCCGACGTATTTTATTGGTTGATAAGGCGGGTAGTAAGCAAACCGCGGAAGCCTTACTTCATCGTTGGAGTTCACGTGGTAGCAAGATGGGTCGCAAAATTGTTATGATTTCTTAAGACCTCGTGGTACATTGGTGCCATGGACGGTGGTAGTTTGAGGCCCTTGCAATACCCCCAAACACTCCTTCATTCTTTGGTTGGGAGTGCTCAAGCGTCTCCATACAAAAGACCGGTTAGAATTCCTTGATGTAGACCTGACTTGCTTTCTTGGAGGTGTTGTCGAATCATCGAGACCTATTTTTTTAGTGCCCCTTCAACTCGAAATTTTGTGGGGTGATACGAGAGTGGGTTAGCCTCCGTTATAGGCTATTGGCGCTCAAAGGGGCTCTTAAATGGACTAAAAAGGAGGCTCGAGGGGCTAGTTGGCAAACTAAGTTGAAGAAAGCGGCGCTTGCGGCAACCGTGTACTTTATTTAGAATGCGAGAAATAGGTTGATTTTTTAAGGTGAATCTCAACCTCCGAGTCTAGTCATTCGTAAGATCCAAACCAATGTTTATCGTACAATCGACGTGCTTGGAGTTTTTACATTTTTGTTTTTCTTGGGACTTGAGTGATCAACTGACCTGTGGTTGCCCTCTTAGACTTATGCCCTGCGAGTGCGGAGCCGTGTGGTTGCCAACTATGCTTTTGTAGGCCGTCTGTCGGTCATTCGAGCACCAGTTTTGATCTATAAATTTACTTTATCGATAAAAAATAATTATATATATATATGTGTGTGTGTGTGTGTGTGTGTGTGTGTTCTCCGGTGAGAATGATGCTTAGTGAAAGAAAAAAGAATACATCCTAGCCATCGAATCACATGATTCAACGACAAAAGTAACCAAGAATATACATTTATAAATAAACAATGTTGCTATAAAACCAACTGGTTGGTTCCCTTATGGAACCAACACCCAATGATTTTGCTCAATGTGGGGCTGTCCCACATGGGCTCCATGTGGGACAACCCCATATGGAGCAAAATCATTGGGTGTTGGTCCCATAAGGGAACCAACCAGTTGGTTTTATCGCAACATTGTATGAATAAAATTTTTCAAATGAAACTTATTTTGAAATTAATATAATACCGTACGATTTGTATCCTAATTTTAAATAGACATATAATTGCATAATTTAAATTTCAATAACATTTTCAATTAATTAATATATGTAAATTGTATTAGATGTTGATTTCATATTTTTAATTAATAAATATTATAATGAGTATTTTTAATTTATGAATATTAATAAATATCTCATACTCGTGCGAGATTCGTACTAGTTAAAAAATGATAGGGTAAATTGCACCAAATCCCCCTGTATTATACTAAATCTGCACTTTATCCCCCTGTAATTTAAAAATTACGTCAAACCCACTTGTAATGTACTTTTGCATGCACGAAACACCCTAAACCGTCAAAGATGACGGAAGTAGAGTGCACGCGCGTGCTATGTGACTCCTTCTTCATTTTTTGGCCACAAATATTCTTTTTACTACTATAAATATGCCCAGATGTAATTAATTGGACCCCACTTTAATATAACGATTATTATATATGATATATTATATATATAATATTATAATG